CCCGTGTCTGGGGTACCTCAGGAGGAGAACTGAAATTTGTGCTTCAAATGCAAAAGTGAGCATGCAAACTGTAGCGTTCCTCTAAAGATCAACCCTGTCCTCTGCAGGTGGCCAGCCTAGTGAGCCAGGCAGCACTATGCCATTTAGTCCTTTCTCTTTTTGCCCCCATGTTCAGTGAGAGGAGCAATTCAGAATTCTTACCTGTGATTCCTGAAGCCCAGGGTCACAACTCTGGCTAGCCTGTAGAACATGAGCTGTGTAAAAGAAGATTCTTCTTTTATTTTACAGCTTGCTGAAGTTCAGGCTACTGAAATGAAGTTGCACTAATACAATGACATACAGATATAAAAACTCTTGAAGAGTATCAAGGGAATTTAAAACCTCTTTAAAACAATTAATAAAACAGTTAAAAAAGTAAATGGGTTTAAGAGAGACTAGAAAGGCTGGTAACAAGTCCTAGAAATACAGTTTATGTTGTGTCTACTTTCATACAAAAGTGGAGATACACCATTTTGGAGACGTTGGCCAAACAGTGAGAGAAGACTTTCCCCAGTTAAAAAGCCTGAGGTCAGCATCGTCACCTCAGATATGACTCTTGATTTGAAAGACCTGTAACATTCTGTTTTTCTGTGCATTTTCTTTACCTTATGCCTGTCATGTGGTAGTGCTTTGCTAAGCAGCAATTACCGTCTGTAGCGCCAGATGGTTGCAACCAGCTACATTGATCTAATTCTATCCACTGGCTGACTTTGGTTAAGAAACAGATGGTGCCTCCTCTCTTTCCTTACCTTTACCTCATTGGCAAAGTTGATTGTTTTACTCTGCACCATGCAGAAATCACAGGCCCAAGTTTTTTGCCAGGTCTGCTAGACTCCTTCTGATATGATCCATCTTAACCCTTGGTGCCCTTGCTTAATGTAAGACTTTCTCCATACAGAGGGCTCTCATTCATAGTTTTCATACTATGTATCATAGTTGATCTTAACAAGGTCTAATTGACCCACTGAAATTCAACAGGATTTCTAGGGAACTAACAGAAAAGGGACGCTCTGCTTCTATTTTTTCCACAGTTCAACTATTCCCATTTGGCAGTTGTGTCTTCAGGGCTAGGGACAGACATTATACATAAACCGGATTAAGTGATGAGAAACTGGTTTAAACCTGTAACAGAACAGACATTCATTGTACATAAACCAGTTTCCAAATGGCCAAAACTGGTTTGAGATAAACCTGGTTGAATGTAGTATCAGACTTAACTGATTTGTCTCAAACCAGTTTATGCAATGTCTGTCCCAGGTTCCCTGCTGGTTTAAGATAAACCAGACACCCCCAGCATCTCGGCATTTTCTCTGGGCTGGGCGGGGCTCTCTGCTCCACGGCAGGGCTGGCACCTCCCCTCTGCTCTCTAGCAGAGCAGGGACTGGCCATAGCGGAAACACTGGCTGGTGGGGCCCCATTAAGGCAAAGTGGGCAGGGAAGGGGTTAATTCTTCCCTCCTTCTCCCTTCCCCCCAGAGCTGGGGTCAGCCTGTCTGCCACAGAGCAGAGGGGAGGGGACTGCAGCAGTGGCCCCTGCAGCTGGCAGACCCCAGCTGCAGGGAAGGGATGGAGGGACGCATTACCCCATCTCCCTGCCCCCTTCACCTTAACAGGGCCATGCTGGGTTCATTGTCTGGCAGGGTGGGGAGGGGGGCTCTGTTCCATGCTGGGGGCGTGGAGCTCTTCCCCCTCCTTCTCCTCCCAGGGTGGGGAGGGGATTCGGTGAGGTTCTGGATGGGGACTCTTCCTCCTCCTCTTCCCCTTCTGCCCTGCCACCCTTGAGCTGGGGGTGTGGGGAGGTGGCCTGCTTCCAGGAGGAGTCCATTGTGGGGCTTCCCCTCTGTGAGTGTGGAACTGCAGGCACACAGCGCAGAGCCTGGGAGATAGAAGTGGCCAGGCAAGCTGTGCGGGGCTGTGCTCCTCAGCTCCAGTGCAGTGCTGGCTGCCTCTTATCACAGCTCTGCACTGTGCCTACAGCTCCACACTCTCACAGGAAAGCCCCACACTGGACTCTGTGGGGAAGCAGGGGATGGGACTCCCTCCATTCCTGGCAGAGTGCGGGGATTGCACAGCCAGGAATGGGAAAGACAGCAGGCTCCAGTGTGGGCCTTGCCCTGCTGCCACGAAGGAGCTACAGGCACAGGGAGCAGAACCATGAGGATAAGGAAAGTTCCGCTCCCTCCTCTGCGCAGGGCTGGCCAGAGCTGTGCCTGCGCCAGGCACAAGCACCCTGACATCCCTGCCTGCTGCTGCTGCCAGGCAGCAGGGGCTGCACTTCATGGGGAGAGTATGTGGGGGTCCTTACACCCCCCACCCTCACACCCTGCCCAGCTGAGCTCCATGCTGCTGCTGCCCCTCTGGGGGGAAGAGGAGGAGTGGGGAAAGTTCCCCCCAGCATGGAACAGCTTCCCCCTGCCCTGGGGGTGGAGAGGAGTGGGGGGAAGAGTCCCCCTCTGGGGCTGGGCAGCATCCCATAGAGCCGCTCCCTGTCCACCCCACAGCAATGGGGGAGAAACAGAGGGAAGAGTCCCCCTCTGGGGCGAGGCAGCCTCACTCACAGAGCTCCCCTCCCCACTGCCCACCCCATGGTGGCAGCAGGGGAGGAAGAGGGAGAAGAGCCCCCTTAGCACCAAACAGGTCTCCCCTCCCAGCCCTGCAGCAGTGGGGGAGAGGAAGGAGAGGGAAGCATTACCCTCTGGGGCTGGGCAGCCCTGTGTGTTGGAATTGCTCCTGCCTGCCAGGGAGCCACTGGGGCAGGCCTGCAGGGGCCTGGCCATGCCGCCTGTCCTCAGCTCAGCTTCCCTGTGGAAGGGAGGGCTGCTCTAGCACCCCTGGGCTTCTGGCCTGAGCCACTGCAGGCATGTGCCGAATATCTATCCACTTGCAAACCAGTTCAATCTTTGTAGGTTAGACTAACCTGCAAAGATTAAATCAATTCAGGCTGGGGCTTTTTGAATGTCCCTAGCCCAGGTGTTTAAAGGGCTTCATGGTGCCAGTGCCAGTAATGGGCCAGAAGAGAGATTTCTTGTAGAGTACTTTATATTTGCAGTATTTTTCAGACTGTCCATTAGAGGCTCTCTCTTTTTTTTCCTGGGATTTATGCACGAGTTGAAGGACTCATACTTATTTCTGGCAGGCACTAATAGCACTCATAACAGATAGACAAACAAGTCAGAAATCAAGAAACTATGGTACTGCATACTCATTAGGGGAAAAGACTATTGGTCCAAATAATCCAAGTAGCTGTCTGCTCTAAATGTGTATGTCTGTGGTTAGAACAAACCATAGACTATCCCATAGACTGCCTAACCTAAATTTTAACTTTTCACAGGCAAGCATATAGATTGGATTATGCTAATCACACTACATCCTTTACTGACCTGAACATCCCTTACTTTGCTATGCATCCCACATTTTTTGTTTCCATTCCCTACTCCCCTGAAACTAACCCTCATTTGTTCCACAAAGGCAATGGTCTCCACTGGTATTAGCATAACTGGACATACTTCCACTGAATTGACAGTTGGGAGTCGTACTTGCTAGTTCTAGAGTTAAATTTGGTCCTGTCAGTCCTGTGTACAGGGGCCCTTATGTCTCATGAAACTGGCCCCTGGAAGTCTCCTGGAACAGCTCTTAATTTTTCTCCAGTAAATAGTAATTCCTCAGGGATCTGTGAACATGAAACTCAAATCCAAAGTAAAATAGTGTTTAATTAGGAGACATAGGTCTGCATTTTTTTCTAACATTCAAGACTTAAGGTAAGCTAATTAATGTTTATGTATATTCTTTTACTTTTTTTACAGCATTTTCAAGAAGGGAAAAGAAAAAAATCTTATAAAACAAGCTGAGCTTAAGCTTTTCATAATAGGTACCTTGCTTCCATGGACTTAGCTTTGTTATGGGACCCAACTCTGATATCTCCACCTTTGACTGCTTGCTGAGACCAGTATGACTCTGCTGCACTCCTGCTAAATAGCAGGGAGGGATGAGGGGGTTAAATTAATGCTGAAAAAACCTCAAAGTTTAGAGCTTCCAAATTTCCAATACTCAATGCGTTTAGTTGGACAAAAATATCATAAAAAATGGTTTTCAGTATTTCCACTTCAATGGTCTTGGATAGAATCAGACAATGTGGAGGTGGGTCAAAGTAAAAAATATGATGGAAATAAGCATTCAGCTTTTTTTAAACATCAGAAGATGTTAAAAGATTTTGTGCAAGCTTTGAGCAAAGGTTGAGGCTAAGTTTTTATTTAATCCAAACTGGTTCTGCTATCCTTGATCTAAAGAAAGGGAGGACAGTTAAATGTCCATGCTTTGGGCTCCTAGTAAGGTAATCCCTTTGACAAAATCCAAGGCAAGTTTCAGATAATGAAGTGGGGAAAATGTTACAAATCTATGCTTTGGATCTCTGTGCATCATGTAGGTAGTAGTACCTTAAAGTTTAAGTGTGGGGAGGGGGTTTCAGGTCTTAAATGGGACTTAACAAGTGCTAAGGTATGGAAGTGGCCTTTTCAGGGACAAACCTCACACCAAATGATAGAAGTCCTAATACTCTACATACTAGTATGTTCTGTATATTGTAAGTGCGATTGCATATCCTTTTTTTCTCTGTTTTCTATGCTGTTAGTGGTAAAACATTTATAAGTCACATCTGCTACTAAAATATAATATTCAGTTGTAACTTGGCTACATGCATATAATTCAAAACATTATTTTTCCAAATGGTATTTTTCCAAATGTCAAAAACAGGGGGAAAAAATTTCTGAGAATGTAAATAAAAATCCAAGACCCCACTGTGGGTAAAAGCAACCCTGGGTTTAAGAGCAGGAACATCTATATCTGCTTATAGATCTCTAGCTATATATAGAAAGGTAGACAGGTAAAACGAAGGCTAGTAAAATCAGCCAGTTGATTGTAACACCTTCTTAAAATCTTCTTTTCTTTCCCTTTTTACCCTCCCAGTTTGTTGTGACAATGTTTTGGAGCATCTATATCTATGACAGAGAACTGGTTTACCCAAAGCTGCTTGATAATTTTATACCAGCCTGGCTTAATCATGGGATGGTGAGTAAAATAACAGTTTCTTGCATAATCAAAGCTGTTAAGAGACCGGTTTTTCCATGCAAAAGTTCACACATCTCTCATACTAATGGCTGTGAAATCCTGATAAAATGTCATTAGAAAAGAAAGTTGTTAAGCAAATGTAACACCTTGTACATACGTCAGTCAGTCGCTGATTTTTTGCACTGCTAAAGGATTCCTGTGCTTGCCTAGAAACCCCACCTGAAACTTGGTGGCCCTACAGGCTGGAACTAAAACCAGTATGGTCTGTGATGGAACAGAAGTTTGCACTAGCTGAGAAGACAGCCCTTAGGAGGGAAGGATTGATTAGTAGGCCTATCAATTGGACTACAGTGTAGGGCTGGGTCAGAAGTGATTTTCTTGTCCTTTGACCTTTTCTGAGAGTACAAATGTTTCCAAGCCCTCATCAGAGCAAAGCTGAGTCATCGCCACTTAGCAGTATGTTCTTTTGGGGCAGATGAGTCTCTTAGCAGAATTTCCACCCTCTACCTGAGAATATTCGGTCAAAACTGAGTATTCCCCACAATGAATCAACCTTTTTTTCCAATGATAAACTCATTCACTGACAAATTTCCCAAAAGTTCTACATCAGGGTAATTTATGACTAAGTTTGTTATATAACAAAAAGTTGGATAGAGGGATAAGTCTGTTCAAGAAATTAAATGCATTTCTGTCAGTCATATGTTGCCTTTGTGTGTGGTTAAAAACAAAGTGCTGGTTACTCAAGTATGCCAGAACTCTGTAGCAGGACCCATGTTAGATTATCCTTTAGAAATGTGTGCACCAATGTGATGATAGGTTTTAGAAAATGCTGTTGGAGGAAAAAGGATATATTGGTAACCAAAAAATGAGGAGTTCGTGCCAAATAAGTACATCTTGATGAGCTAAACCCATCCTCCTCATTTAGAGCGACAGTGAAAAGTCCCTCAAAAACTGAAGATTCTTGCTAATCCTCAGCTAACGTGGCACTTTGTGGATGAAGAAAACATTTAATTAAGGGTATATTTTTCCATCCCATGTTAGTACAATGCAGGTAATATTGAGCTCAAATCTTTCATGCTTGTTTCACGCATCTTGTCTTACTGAGTCTGTAAAAGACATTTTTATTATACCTTTCCACTCCTATCAGAGCATGGCATGCCATTTGGCACTGTTAATCTGTAGACACAGCAGAAGCCATTTTACAAGGAGTATGAATTGCATAGCCATGGTGAATCAGTACTGTTCAGAATAAATTGTTTCTTGATGTAATTTGGTATGCACGCTGTCTAAATAGTTATTGTGTGTTACCCCAAATTGTGTGTATATGATGCAACATGAAAGTTATTAATGCTAAGAGATCCTGAAGTTCTGCTAAATATTTTACCATTTTATCCTGGTTTTGGAAAGAGTGTTATGGCATATTGCTCTTTTTTCTGATGACTCATCTTGCATTAGTCCAGACAGTCCTTCTCTCCAAATTTGAGGTCTTATGCTAAGCATTTAGAAGAGCTGCCAAGCCATACATACATTTATTTTTATTTTTCATACAGAATTGTGGTATCTGTAAGGACATTTCTTCCAGGTGGCATTCTCCACACTGAAAATGGCTAACTTGGGACATTTTTCATAGACATGCCTCAACATTTGTGATAGACATACATTGTGAAACAGGTGACAACATATGGTCCTGTGTGTTCAGGACATTTCTTCATTCATACTGCAACATAAAAGGCAGTTCAAGCCCATGTTGTTTTGTGGAAATGTATATTTGGTGAACTATTTGAAGAGAGGTTTTGTTTGATATTTTGGACATCGTAGAGTGTACAGAAATGAATTGTATGCAAACATCTTAGACATTTTTATGTTCAACTTGAAATATTGTAGAAGGCATTTTCGAAAGTCTTTTGTGAAGGAATTGTTTGCCTTGTCAGTCTCTATTTATCCAAGTGTTCCTTTGGCTGGGTCACAGGGGAGGCTTATGACTGTTGGGCTTTTCACAACCTTTCAGTCTAATTCTTTCTGATGTTTTTGCCATCATATTATCTTCACCATCTTTCATTCTAATTAATTTTGATGCATTGCCCATCAAAATATGAGATTTGAAAGGGGGAGGGTCTAGAAATCTCATCTACTTTTTTAAAGTTCCCTCAGCATGTTAGTACTTTATTTATTAGCAAGGGCTATTATTTTGAGATGGCAGGTGTTAGGAAGTATGGAGATGTGATTTATTTTAGTTGTTTTGTTTTTTGATGAAAAGGGCAGAAATCATTGCAGTATAGTTTTAAAAAAGTCAGACATCATGGACTTTACTTTGTGCACAAATAACATATATCCCCCCAAATTTAGGACATTTTAATGGGAGCAATGCATGCCCAATGATAACTGTTTTGTTGGAGCTAAGCTTTGTAAACCAAGCTTACTGAGAGGATTTATTGTCCAGAGAGGAATTAAAGCTGTCAGTGAAGCCATGAGGGGGTTAACTTGTGCCAAGCCAAGCTGTGAACAAGACACAACCATGATGACACAAAAGCTGTCAACCCACTCCAACAATGGTGAATTTTCCCCTGAACAAATCAGGAGTGGTATTTTCCTGCTTTTAAATGCATGCTTTTAGTATACACAGTCTGCTTATTTCTCACACTTTCAAATATACAGCCAGCTGATTTGTGGGTAGCTGCCATGGTACAGTTTCCTCTGTTTTGTGCCTCAAGCTTCACTTTTGTGTGTGTCCATAGCCTAAGAGTCAGATCTTTTGTCTGTAGAACTGTTCATGAGTTCCTGTTCTGTGTCAAGGTGTGGCCACACAAACTGGTAACCACAGTGTAAAAGGAGGATAGGGATTTACAGCACATCAGCTGCTCAGCAGTAACTGCTTGTTGTGTGCACTCCTCCCCAGCTAAATCGTGGCAACTTACTCCCCTGTCACTGGGCACACCTACACAAGGTGCTTACTGTGCAGTAGCTCAGTACTACTGCTCATTAGCATCACATGGCATGAAATGTGATGTGATGTTACTGTGCCATAGTAACAAGCTACTGCGCAGTCAGCATCACCTAAAAGCCATTTGGTGACTCTACTGCTCAGTAACTCTGGTGCAGTCATTTAGGACTTGGTTATACAAGTCCTAAATGACTGTGCAGTAATGACTGCACAGTCAGTGTCTCATGTAGATGCTGCCACTGAGCCATAAATCCCTCCTCTCCTTTACCTTTCAGTCGCTTCGTTCTTTTCCCATGCTCTTAGGACATGTCTGCAGTGTCTGTTGCAAACTCAGTAGCGCACCTGCAGCTCATTCCAGTTCAGTACATGCCACAGCGCAGAAATTAGGCAGCGTAGCCAGTTTGGAACGTCCCGTGCCTGTGCTCAGTTACACTAAGCAGTTTTGGACACGCATCACTTTTTTAGCACTATATGCACTCTTATCACCTTACAGAAAGCTAGCATGCATACATTCTGGCTGGCTGTAGCCCTGTACATAATGTGTGGGCAGTTATATGTAGAGCTACATAGGGTCTCTGGTCCCCAAGCATCCCATAGTGCTCTGCCCTCCTTCCTGCACTTCTTTCCCAAGAGGGGGAGAGGAAGAGTAGCTAGATCCCTGACAGCCTCCAAGGAGCAAAGCTGCAGTTTCCTCTCTTACAGCTATTAGAGCCACTGTTTCCCACTTCCCCCCAGGGAGCAACAACTCTGCTGAGAGACCAGTGCCACTGCCTCCACAATGGCAGCAGAGAGACTGGCCCCCATTAAGGGAACCCACCCCCACCCATGCTCCCTAGCTGGAGAACACATCACTGAGACCGCTGACAGACATCCAGTTAAAGACATGATAGGTTCTGGTCCTTGATCCCAACAATTGTGCCTCCTGCCATATCATATGTGCATTTGTGATGGGGCATCAGATCCCAATTGTGCCATGTTGCTGATGTAGGAGGAGCCATGAGATCCCCCTGCACCAGCAAGTAGCAAGCTCGGTGCCCAGTGCTCCCATGGCTGAGAGCACCAGTCAGCTCATTTGCTCCACTGGTGGCACTCCCAGCCTCAGGAGCACACCAGGGTCTTGAAATGCTCCCTGTTTGTGGATTATTTCCTGTTTTATCATGCCATTAATTGAGCAACCATATTGCCAGGTTACTACTTAAGATGTGATTAACTGGTTAATCACATCCCAAGTGTAATGTCTGCCAGGGCCTGAACCGCTTCACGGAAACTTTGTAGCACTCCTACACACATGAATACTCCTGCAGCCCATAGCACTCTGTTTTGCTGGGGCACTTTGTAGTGCTGCAAATGAACGCGTATCCTAAACCCTAGTTTCTCTGTCTTGAGTGGACGTACTTCTTGGCCTATGTTGGGAACCGTGTGAAGCCAGTTACGTTACCAAATTTCTAGGGTGTAGTGTAGGAAGGAGTGGGCAGGCTGTCCTTCCCCAGGGTGCTCCCAGGCTTGTGACAGAGTTAGAGTAGACCTGTCCTTCTATTGTCCACGCAGCCCAGTGTTGCAGCTTTTTAACAATGTGTGCTCTATAGTTGTTTCAGCCATTAATGCTACTATTGTCTGGGAAAGGTTCTGAAGCAAAAAATGTTCTCAATTTTTGAAGGGGGAAGAATCAGAACATTTCAACCAACTAAATGTCTAAATCCAAACATCTGGGGCTATTCTTATTAGGCCCAAAAGAGAGAAAGTTGATAGTATTATTTGTTCTTCCCCATATGAGATAACTCATGTCATTAGTACAAGGACAAAGAGAGTGAATTGATTAATATTCCTTCTCTGTCCATTTTTTTTTTATTTTGTGCTAAAGATAAGGAACTATAATTAAGTGCAGATTAGCTGGATAAAGGGTGGGGTCTGCTGGAATTTCCTAAAAAGAAAAAAATGCCTCTCTCTATTTGGAGTGATGGTGGTATGTCCAAAGTTAAGGTCAGGGCTTTTCATTATAAACCTGATTTTTAACTATATTTTCTCCAAAAAGGAACTTACCCCCTTGAAATATTTTTGT